TACCTATGCCACCATCTTGGTTTCTCCCTAATTCGGATTTTTTGACCAAATATTTTACCAAATGATTTTTTTAAATCCTCACCCAAAATTATTTTTTTGAGAGATTTTTTAGAGAGAGTGGAATGGAGGGGGGACAGAGAGAGAGAAAAACATCAATATGAGAGAGACACATCGATTGGTTGCTTCCTGCAGGCACCCTGACCAGGGCCCGGGAGCAAACCTGCAACCCAAGTACCTGCCCTTGACCAGGAATCAAACCCATGACCCTTCGGTTCCAGGGCCAATGCTCTAACCACGGACCAAAACCAGTTAGAGCAATTAAATGATATTTGAGTTCAAGTCCACAACTCTTTGATTACCTACAAAGTAGGTACTTCTCCATGGAAAAATAAATTCAGAATCACTTTTTAAATAAGTTAGCTGAGCAAAGTATATTGAAAAAAGTGGGAGTCAGTCTCAATAAAAATTTCTCTGGCCAGGTCACCTTCTACCCTGTTTCCTCATCTGAAAAATGGAGATCATAATTTCTAATTTATTATGGGATTAAATAAATGTAAAGTGCCTACCATAGCATGTGTTACAGTAGAAACAAACAGTAATTGTTAAACCGTGCCCTGCTTTCCTCTGGTCACTGCAGAGGAACACATTTTTATTAAGACCCAGTTCTCAATTGCAAAGAACTTACTACTTTGTACAGAAAAATGTTTGAGGGGTCCTACTACAGAGAAGAATATAATAAAAATGCTATAAACTTTTGATTCACTATTTTAAAATCCCTAAATTAAGTGTGTGGATCATAATACACAGGGATAGAAAACAAAAGTGTCTTTGTTCAGAAATAACTTTTAACATTTGAACTCAAAACATAACTTCTCACTTTTAAACATTGCCAAGTTTGGAAAGAACTAGTTCTGTTTGTTCATAAGCTATCATTGGATGGTATCATTCTGAGGATACAAGTTTAATAGCCAAGGTAGGAATAATGAATTTTAATCCTGTAGTAGAAGCTTTCTTGTATTGTGAGAAAATTTTTGACCTGTATATTGAATGTTGGTTGCCTAGCTAATTTCTTATTTTTAAAAAGACAGTAAATTATTTAAATTTCCTACAAATATTTTTTGTTGTTTTTTTGTTTTGTTTTTTTTATTGTTTTATTACTTAAAGTATTACAAAGGGTATTACATATGTGTCCTTTTTTTTTTCTCCCATCCTTGACAATCCCCTGGCCTCCCCTACCCCCCAGTGTCTTATGTCCATTGGTTATGCTTATATGCATGCATACAAGTCCTTCGGTTGATCCCTTTACAAGTATTTATATATGATACTTGATTCAAGGAGTGCTTTGTGGTATCAGTATGTATTCCAGTACATAATCTCAAATTTTTAATTTGTACAAAACCAGAGCTCTGCCTAGTTTCATTTCAGTCTGGTTCCTTTTACCCCTCAAAATTCAGCCTCCTTCCTGTCACCATGCTTGGCATGAGTATTCTCTGCTTTCCTTTGGACTTTGTTGACATTTAGATTCATCTGGAATAATATAGATATGATTTGTTATTTAGGGAATGAACTTTATGACAAATGGTAATACATTGATAAAATCAATGCTCTATTTTCCCCTTTCATTTTAAGATGTAACCTAGATCATTGGCACCATAGAACTTGTAAGATCTGAATTTAACCAAGAGCAGTATTATCTAGGGAGTTATGCAAAAATTACCAATGCCTGTAGCTCACCCCATTCCAATTGAATCAGAAGGAGAGGGTAGGAATAAGGCATTGGTGAGTTTTTTTAAACTCCAGGTGATTCTGATACACAACCAGGATAAGAATCGTCAGCCTAGAAAGGAGAGTAAGATTGTGGTTATACAAAATATATAAAATATTTTCCTAAATGGCTAGCATATTGTCCAAAATAAATGATCAATAAGGAATGTGATTTTTAAAATGTGGCCTGGCATTTAATTAATATGCTGTGTCAAGTTCAGTAAATAGTTGGGAAGTCTCTCAAACCAACTTTTTGTAATATGTTTAATTGAAGATTAAAGTCTTTACTTAAATGTAAGTCATTATTTTACTTGAATGTAGTTTCTTAAAATGTTAAACATGCCCTGGCCAGTGTGGCCCAATTGGTTGAGCGTCGTCTTGTGCACCAAAAGGTTGCCAGTTTAATTCCCAGTCAGGTTAGATGCCCATTTTGGGTTTGGTCCCTGGTCGGGGTGTGTACAGGAGAAAACTGATTGGTGTTTCTCTCTTACGTTGATGTTTCTCTCTCTCCCTTCCCTTCCTCTCTCTCTCAAAAAATAAATAAAAATATACTTTTTTAAAGGCTAAATATTTACCTAAAGTAGCCTATTTCCAAATTCTCACACACACACACACACACACACACACACACACACCTTTTCATTGCTCATATCCCATTGATAGTAAAAAAATGAAATTGGTCCTTTATTAGGCCACTTGGCATCCTTGAAGTTGAAAAATCAACTTTTGGATATTTGCTACAAATAATCCAAAGGACAATATTTATACAATAGAGGTATGTTACACTTAAAC